GTGAAGTGTCTGATGAATACATTAGCTCTGAGCTGAGGGATGGGGTGTCAACGCCACCAAAGTTTGAATGCTTAGAAATGGTGTCAGTTTCATAGAAAGATATTCTATGGAATATAGTCCAGGGGATAATGAATAGACGAGAACCTAGTCTTCCTCTACCTAGTGATTTCCAGGTATGTTGAAGCCATAACACAGTGCTTCCCAAACAGTTTCCTTTATTATCCAATGCGGCTTATTACAAAGTCCTTTTTACCTAATGCGGGTAAAATACTTTAAGAATTTAAATATCCCTGTTATGATTGGGTAATGGGTTTGTATCCAATTTGGGGTAATTTACTCAAGTTTGGGAAGCACTGCAATAATGGCTAAAATAACAGGGAATTCTGGAAATTACAATCTCCATCTGGAAGATAGCCACATTCTGCTTAAATATTCCTAATATATCCTTGAATATTGCAATTTGATTTATACAAAGAAAGTATAATGAAACTGGGGTTAATCATGTTGGTTTTGAATGAAATGTTGCTTTTAATACATTTGATTGGTTGCAGTGTAGTCTAAGAATCTATCTAAAGTCTTAGTTTATCTTTTAAAAAAAAATAAAAATACATAGTTTTCTCTGGTTTGAAGGAACTTAATCCTGCGTTTTTCATGTATGCTAATTCACTTTTAAAGCTACTGTTGATAATTATTAGTTATATTATTCTGTAGTTACTGGTGAGATTAGATTTAGTTAGTAACACTATAATAATCTTTTTAGTAGATTTATCAACTGCTCAAACCAATGTTTAAATTACTTAATTGTGATGATTATAAGGAGGGATTCTTTCTCCAGATAATTAAATACATAATTAAATAGGCACTAAATTGGCATCAAATAAGGCATTTTTTGTCCAGGAGATAATGACAAATACGTAGAGTTTTTAGTTCTCTAGAATGTATACTGCTCAAAAAAATAAAGGGAACACAAACATATAGGATCCTATACATTTGTGTTCCTTTTATTTTTTTGAGCAGTATATTAAGGGTTCCAGTTTTCCAGTGATACTAGGGATAGAAAAATGCTTACAAAGGGATGCCTTTGTCTGCTAAGGAACTACATTTGGCAGGACCCAAGAGATGGGCCTTTTCTACTGTGGTGATGGTGCCAGCTGTTTGGAACATCACACTGCCTCCCTCGTGAGACTGGCACCCTCCTTGATTTGGAGGTTTCACCAAAATTGGAATTTAATGAGGTGGCCACATTGAGCGTAGCACCTATGCTATCCCTACCTTTTAGTTTTTTTTTAATTACAATGTTTGTGTTCAATGTTTTATTGTACATTGTACAATATTGTACATTGCTCAGAGTCATGTTTCTGTGAGATGGGCAGTGTGTAAATATGATAAATACATAAACAGTGGATTAGAAGGGCATTTGGCAGGAGCATGATCCCACTTTTAGCACCTGTCTCTCTCCATTGCTTAGAGCAGCTGTAACACTTCATTTCATTTCATAGTCAAGCTGCCGTTGATTTAGGGTTACATTGCTATTTTCTCACTTGTGACCACTTTCAAAAAATGCACTTTGGTAAAATTAAGTAATGCACAGCCCAGTAAATTAACCATGTTCCCAGTGAAGAAGCACTGGAATAAATGAAGCCTTGGGATGAAAGAGAGAAGTACCGAAGTGGGTAACAGAATGGCCAAAACTAGGAATAAAGTAATACATCCTCAGACTATTCCAAGTCTGCATGGCCCCCTTCTTAATTATTACTGTACATTGTCCATACTTCAGCATGTTTATAAAAAAAGCAGCATTTGTACTTATTAATGTAGACTCCAACTGGGATTTTCCTAGCAGAAAACTAACATTTGTTGCCCTGGCATTTTACTGTAGGCAACATAAATGGTCTGGGTCAGTGACCATTGCTTTTCACTTCCCACTGATTAATATCATGCAAAAATAACTACACAGATAACACAATTAACAATGAACTGGGTAAAGAATGTTCAAATTGATGTTGTTGTATGAAAAAAACAAGTCTGATATAATACATTTGGAAATGTATGAAAACATTTGGAAATGGTATCAGCAGTTCGGAAGTTAAAACTTTAAACGAACTCATTATTTTAGAAAATCTAAAATTAACTTTATCTCCAAAAGGCTATTGAGAAATAGCTTTTCATCCCAGATTCATTGTATTGGCTTCTAAGTAGAATCTAAACCAATGTTTTTCAAACTTGGTAACTTTTAAGATGTGCAGACTTAAAACTCTCAGAATGCTGGCTATGGCATTCTGGGAGCGGAGCCACACATCTTAAAAGTTGCCAAATCTGAAAAACCTTGATTCTCTAGAATTTTGAAAAGAAGTTTAAATTTTTCATTCTATAAGATATGTCATGTTAACAATGTATGGAAACAAACTCCCATCTTTTCATTATATCAAGCACTAAGGAGAAATTCCAAATTTATCCTGCTTTGGTCACACTCTTGAAAACTTTTGACTACTGGTATAATCCTGGAATAATCTCTTCCCTTCCTCCTGCAAAAATCGTTGCCAGGCATGTGGATGACAGGCATGCCTTCACTTCTAATAATAATAATAATAGTAGTAAAGTTGGAAGGGACCTTGGAGGTCATCTAGTCCAACCCCCTGCTCGGGCAGGAAACCCTACACCATTTCGGACAAATGGCTGTCCAGTCTCTTCTTAAAAACTTCCAGTGTTGGAGCATTTACTGCTTCTGGAGGCAAGCTGTTCCACTGATTAATTGTTCTCACTGTCAGGAAGTTTCTCCTTAGTTCTAGGTTGCTTCTCTCCTTGATTAGTTTCCACCCGTTGCTTCTTGTCCTGCCTTCAGGTGCTTTGGAGAATAGCTTAATTCCCTCTTCTTTATGGCAGCCCCTGAGATATTGGAACACTGCTATGATTGGAGATTTGCTTTTGATAGGTGGTAATAATGAGGTATGTAAATAGCTGATTACCTGGTGGATAGCCTAGAGCAGGGGTAGGCAACTTTGGCTCTTTTATGACTCGTGGACTTCAACTCCCAGAATTCCTGACCCAGCCAGTCCACGAGTCATAAAAGAGCCAAGGTTGCCTACCCCTGGCCTACAGCAGCGGTCCCCAACCGGTCCTCTGGCATCGGGGACCAGTTTTGTGGAAGACAATTTTTCCACAGACTAGGGAGGGGGGAGGAGCTTGTAACCTAGATCTCTTGTATATTTGTGCAGTTTACAGTAGGGTTTGCACTCCTATGAGAATCTAATGCCTGATGAGCTGAGATGAGCTGAGGCAGTAATGCTAGCACTGTGGAGCAGCTGCAAATTCTGATGAAGCTTTGCTCACCTCCAGTTGTGTGGCTCGGTTCTGGTCCATGGACTAGGGGGTTGGAGACCTTTGGCCTATATAATACACTATTTTTTTTTTCTTAGATAACATCTTTGGCAGTGTTTCTCAACCTTGACAATTTTAAGGCATGTGGACTTCAACTCCCAGAATTCCACAGCCAGCATTGCTGGCTGTGGAATTCTGGGAGTTGGAGTCCACATGCCTTAAAACTGTCAAGGTTGAGAAACACTGATCTTTGGGGAAAGATGTTGGTCATTAAATCACTGCAAACGTAGAGATTTTTTCCCTCACATGCTCTTTGACAATTACCTTTCTGAAATTCTAAGCAGTACGGTAATTAATTGCTTAGTATTAAAAGTACAAGGGCCAGCAATTCAGACTCCTGTTTGGAAATAATCTTATTACTTACCCTGCTTTTCCAATTTGAATTCTTGAGCTGTCATTGCTGGGTTAAATGATAAGCACCAAGGAAAGGGCTGCTTTCTCTGACATAAAAACTGCTTTTGCTTCTGACATTTCAGAACATAATTGTTCTCTCAGGGATAGCAATAGTTCGTTAAATACAAAGCACCAAATACAGTGCATTCAGAAAGTATCCAGACCCCCTTCACTTTTGTCAACTTTGTTATGCTGCAGCCTGATTCTACAGTTGAAATTTTTTTTCTCATTAATCTATTTTCTCCGCTCATTCTTCTAACAGTGCTTAAGGCACAATGCTAGAAATTGGGAGATTGTGAGTTCTAGTCCTGCTTTAGGCACACAGGTAGCTGGGTGATCTTGGGCCAGTCACTCTCTCTCAAGCCTAGAAAGCAGGCAAGGAGAAACCATACCTGAGAAACTGCAAGGGCCATCACTGATTCAAAAGCACACACACACCAAAAAGAAAGATTGTAAAGTCAGTTTAGTGTAGGAAATAGCATCAGGCTAGAAACTGGGTGAGTATGATTTCTGATCCTGCCTTAAGCATGGGGCAAATATTCTCTTAGCCCTAAGAAGAAGGCAAAGACAAACGCTTTCTCAAAATGTTGCCATGAAAAATGCAGGTGGCTGCCAGGAGTTAAAAGTGACTTGAAGGCATGCATACAATCGATAAATGAGTTAGGGGACAAAGGTTGGATCCTGAATCAGCTGCCATTTTGTAGGCTGAAAATTGGCAAAATGGCAGAAACAGCTATCTTCATGCTATTCCCCTTGCCCTGAATTGTCTCAGGCCAGGAGTTTTCCAGACAGCAGGGCAGGAGAAAACTGTGACCAATTCACCTATCTTTGCAGGCAGACTCACAAAGTAAATAGCATGGGCTAAAGGAGGTGTAGGCAAATATTTTTCTAAGTTTTGAGACGCTGATGATGTTCATAATTTTTCATTTTTCATCTATGCAAGTCATGCCAGAATTTGTGTAAGCAGATGTTTACGGATACTTTTCTAAACCAGGTGAAAGTGTGAAAACTCCGCGCTAGAAATAAAATGCCCATTTAATATAAATACATGTAGTTCTTTGGAAGAAGGGAGAAGCTCAGCCACAGCTCTTGGTGGTCTTCTTGCTTCCAATTGGTCTTTGGGATTCCATTTCCCCCAAAACTGTGCAACACACTTAAATGTTTTGGCCCCTTTCATCTTTGAAGGAGATTGTTCACCACAACCTTCAGTGAAAACTAAGACAAGTGGAAAAAATATGACTGTACTAATATTGATACAAACCAACTGCATGAAAAATGAGTCATACAAAAATCTTCCACATTTTGGCAGTTATGAAGCATAACAATTTTAAATGCAATTTTAAGTGTAAAAAGTCCAAACAAAATATAAAAGATGCAACATTTATAAAAAAGACTGAACAGAACAATGCAATATAACCCTTGGTGATCTTGTTTCACATTGTTTTCTATTGCACATGTTAAAGTCGCGTGACCTAACTTCTACAAATTCCTTTTAAATTGGATAGAACTGTTTTAACTTTTCCCTTACTGCTATTTTTAGATTATTGAGTTAATATTTCTGTTCAACTAATTTAATTCCTTATAAAAAAGGTGGGTTTTTTTACACTGCAGGATTTTTATTCTGCATATGCACATTTAATTGGTATCTATTTTAACAGAATGAACTAAAGTAATATAATGCAACATGAAATATAATTACATTAACTTTTTGTAGTTCTTATTAATAACTTCGTATCAAATATGCTACTGGAAGTATTTCTTTTTCTTTTAACCATGCAAAAATAATTTTAAAAAACCAGCACTGATCTTCAGCAATGTTTTCTTAGAATAAACCAACCAGGGTCAATAGCAGTTTTCAATGTAGTGCAAAATTAAAGAGTTAACCATTTCCATTAACTAATTGCACCCAAACTATTTTTAAGTTGTGAAAAATTTCTTATGAAAATGGTCAAATAGGACAGAGATTAACTAAGCCCAATGGGTAAATTCACGAAGTACATATTTTGTGACTCCTTAAAAAAAAGCTAATATAACCATGATTCCAATATGTTCTTAGTTATTTGTTCCCCAATTAAATTAAGGTGGCTAATTGTAGGAAAATTAAAGCCACCAGGTTGGCAAACTTTATGTTCTTACTAAATTTTTTATCTTGCTAAAAACCTTAAGCACTTCTCAGAAGTGTCCAGTTGCCCTAATTTTTGGAAAGTATCTCTATTTCATGCACTTAAACTTTTTTCCTTTGAAATGTTCATCCTAGGTTCTCTTTCTGTATCTTTGTGCTTTGGGTAAAACATTGGCTGCAGTGCAGAGGTTGCCCTGGAGACCTTTTATCAGAGTTCATTATGAGAGTTTTTATCAGCAGCTTTGAACATCAGGATGGAATTGAAGATTTTTAGAGCTGGTCCCAGTTTAATACTCATTATTTTGACAATGTCTGCTTGGGTCATTAGAAGAAAAGCTTCCCCATCGATTTGCTGAAAGGAAAAAAAAATCTACATGTTAATGATTTCACCCAGTTATGAATGTACTTTCAACTTTATAACAATAATTTAAAATGGGACCAAACTATTCACTTCAGATATATCGAAATGGAATTTGTTAATTTTAAAAGTGAATTGAATTCTCCTTTGATAAATATTCCTCAGTGATGCTTATCAACTTTCACCCCCAAGACTGCCATCTCTTCGGTCTCTCTAGTTTGCATAAGTTATTCAGCTATAAGAACAGAGATCAGGATGGCTTTTGTTAAAAAAAAAAAAAAAACCTATCCAGAATTGTTTGAGCACCTATTCAGCTCATGCCAATAAATATCTAGTTAAAGGTTTCTTTTAACTTGTATCAAAGGACTAAAGGGAATAGGAATAATTTATTTCCTAAAATACAGAAGCAAACCAGAAGCTTGCTGTTTGCTGTGTGAAGGAGGTCTATGTAAAAGCTTCAAAAGAAGTGCTCTGGAATATGCTGGAATATGTACAAACCTCTTTTCACGTTCTTTAAAAAAGCTTCATCACTGATGCTGAAACTGCCTGTAATTTCTTCTGCATGTCTATGCGGGCATAATCACTTCAAGCAAATTCAAGATGAGTTATTTGTGTTGGTTCCAAAGCCTCTTTTCAAAGGATTATCACAGCCTTCATATGTAGCTTTTGAAATCTGTCACAATGATTATATGCAAATTCCTGCATACCTATTCTAAGCCACTAGTTGAGTTAAAATAGGTTGCGCAGTAAAGTTATTATATTATATCTCATCCTTCAGAGAAATCCTGGTATTTTAAATTACGGTGGTATAGAAATATTTTTGTTTTCCTAGACGTTCTCTTTATATTAATCAAGACAACAATGGCATCAAAGTCACTGGTTTAGTTTAGTCTTCCTCTTTTTTTCATTTCTTTACAAGCAATAAATAGGGATGGAGTAACTGAAGTCTTCCTGATAGCACTAAATTACAATTCTAAGCACTGCCTACTATGCTGGTTGGACTAGATTAGCAACAGATTAGCAACATTTAAAAATTCATAAGTCTGTTATGCATGCAGTAAATAACATCCCAATATATTAAATAGCATAATTGATTTAAAAAGTTGGTTAGTATCATTGCCAATTTCTTTTTACTGAATCCCTTGCTTTCAAGAATAATTACACTGTCTCAAATGTATGTTACACTGAAACTTTGAACTTGCCAGAAATTGGACGTTGACACAGACATATAACATTGTCACATAATTTAAAGTAATACTTTAAATATTCTGATAAACAACGCCTTTAAAAAATGCAGCCTTGATTCGAGAAAGATTTGAGAAAGAAAAAAATCCAATTCCACTTGGATTTCTAGGGCAAAATTAATTACACATTTTATTTCACTGAAGTCAGTTTTAAGACAATTTAGTAAAAGCCATGCTGAGAGACTGTCTTCAGAAATGAAATTAAAAACAGGGCTGATTTAATGTAAACATGTTATCTTTTGCCAATTAAACATTATATGAAACCCTGTAAGAATACTGAACCTTGATTACCAAAGGATTGATCTGTTATACTCACCTCATCTTTGAATACTTTGCCATGCTCCTCACAACCTGGCAAACTCCGAATGAACTCTGAGACCTGCCAATCAATTTTAACAAAATAAGAGAGTAAGAATAATAGAATAACTGTCCATTTAGCATATTATCTTGCTTCTAAGTGATAGGAATTTGGGGGGGGGGGGAATCAGCAAGTGCTTGTTTCAAAACTGGCAAGGGTACTATGCCTTCTTCCAATTTTATAAATAGCAATGATCAAGTTCTCTAAATCCTATATTCCACTTAACCTTTATTAATCCTGTTTAAAGTCCTTGATTTTTAACTATTTTTTAGTGACCATTTGAAGTTACAACGGCAATGAAAAATGTGACCTGTGACCAGTTTTCTCACTTTTAACCACTGCAGCTTCTTCATGGTCATGTGATCAAAATTCGATTGGCAATTAGCATGTATTTATGACAGCTGCGCTGTCCCAGGGTCATGTGATCACCATCTGTAACCTTCCCAGCCGGCTTCTGACGAGCCAAGTCTATGGGGGAAGCCAGATTTGCTTAATGACCGCATGATTCACTTACTTGTGGCAAAGGAGTCATAAAATAGGACACAACTCACTTAACAATTACCTTGCTTAGTAACAGAAATTTTGGGCTCACCAGGGCTTTTTCTGTCATAGAACGCACTGGAATGGATTTCCAGCACCTTTTTTCGATGGATTTTCCAGAATTGTGTTCTTTTCCTATTGTTTCCCTTCCAATCCTCGCTTACCAAGGCTGAGGGAAGCAGATGTGAGGTGGCGGCAGACGGTTAGGCGCTGGACTAAGGGGGGCGAGGCTGCACGGGAAGAGGGATTGGATCACAAGGGTGGGTTTATAAGGGTAATCAAGCGGATGGTGGTTTATGGGCGGAGGGTGGGGATGTGGGCGTGGACATGTTATAAAGAGCACTGGGAACAAACCAGTCCCAGTGCTAACTTTGTTAGTTAGGCAGTGAATAAACTTCCTGATGTGCACTGAGTTCCTGCGTTCCTGGTTTTCATTCCTGACGACTAAGGACTTGGATTGACAGTTTGTTTTTGAAAATGCCCCGCTGGGTGGTATGTTACGAGTGGGGTCCCCTCCGGCACTATCTGCCTCCTCTAGAAGGAGCCATGAGGTGCCGGAGCACCACATCCCGAGCGTGGTTTGATTGGCTGGGCTGGACTATGCAGTGTGGAAGCTGATGGTGGCAGGGGGAGACACATAAACATGGAGGCCATCTTTCACAAGAGGGCGAATGAGCCTTTTGCCTTCCCTTACAGAAGGTGGGGTGTGAGGTTAAAAAGAGGGCAAAGCGAGAGGAAAGAGAGACAGCTGGCATGGAAGTTTGCCCGACAGTGAAACTTTGCTCTTTCAGTTCCTTGGGTAGTTCAAAGGCTGGGATGTCTACAAAAATCTCTTTTTAGTCTTTTATACTTTATATTCAAACTTCAGAGGGGAAGAATAAGAATAAAGCCAATGTCTTGTGATTTGGAGGTATTATTATTAATAATAATGTATATTAATTATGTATTGGTCAGATATAAAGGTAGACCTACAGTATGAGGTTTAATCAGATCTATTTATTAAATTGGATTTAACTTTAAAGGTAAATTAAAAGTAATCTGTTCACTGACAAAGTTTCAACTTTAATTTGTTTCAAGTCAATATCCATATTAAACTCCAAATGTAAATTTTTCCACCTTGTTTGACAACTTCTTAAAAATAATTCATTTTTTAAAAAGCAATCAAATTTTGTTTTATTGGGCCAATTTCATTCCACATAGAAAGCTGACATTTCCACTCATTAAACTAAATGGGTACGCCAGTGGTAAATGTCCCAAAAGATTAATAAAATGCCTTCTTGTAATTTAAAGCCACACAGTGCATGGTAACATTAATAGTATTAACTTATTTTGAACAAAATCCTAGTCTTTTAGATACACTAAAAATTGAAGGGTTTTTTTTTTCAACTACAAAAGTAAACCTTGTAGGGTAGGCAAGGTGGGTTTTATGACGTTTGTGAGTTCTGGCACTTTTTTTTTCTTCAAAAAAAGCACTGCTTACGACCATAATTGGCAAACTGCAGATGTACTACCTGTAATAGGAAATCATGCATTCTGCCTCTTCAATTTTACTGGGTGATGTAAATGATGTCGATGAAGCAAAGATTGCTTAGCATTTAGACTCTAAGCCCCTCCCCGCTCCATCTATGCTGCTTCACTGCAACGTGGCGGTATTCTTGGGACGAATGAGCAAAGAACAGTGGGAGTATATATTAAAAGTAAATTCTTAGATAAACCATATAAAGAACAGTTGCTGGAATTGGGAATATCTATTTTAATGAAGAGAAGGACTAGGGGTGAAATGATAGCAGTGTTCCAATATCTCAGGGGGTGCCACAAAGAAGAGGGAGTCAGGCTATTCTCCAAAGTACCCAAGGCAGGACAAGAAGCAACGGATGGAAACTAATCAAAGAGAGAAGCAACCTAGAACTAAGGAGAAATTTCCTGACAGAACAATTAATCAGTGGAACAATCTGCCTCCAGAAGTGGTGAATGCTCCAACACTTGAAGTTTTTAAGAAGAGACTGGACAGCCATTTGTCTGAAATGGTATAGGGTTTCCTGCCTGAGCAGGGGGTTGGACTAGAAAACCTCCCAAGTTCCTTTCCAACTATTATTCTATTCTATTCTATTCTATTCTATTCTATTCTATTCTATTCTATTCTATTCTATTCTATTCTATTCTATTCTATTCTATTCTACTCTACTCTACTCTACATTTGTCTGAAATGGTACAGGTTGTCCTGCCTGAGCACAGATTTGGACTAGAAGACCTCCAAGGTCCCTTCCAATACTGTTATTCTATTCTTCTAGTGGGATCAGTCAAGCCATGAAGGTCATCCCTGCTGCCCAGCTAAGAGAAACAGGCACCTATATAAAATAACAGCAATATAGGAAGATGTTGGAGATGGAGGCTCACTTTAGTGACAGTTGCAAAGTCATAGTGAATGGGAGAAAGCAATGATAGACCAACCTGTATTTTACCAAGAATAGTAAATTGATACACAAAATAAAGTGATTGATGAGATAATGCAGGATGATGGCCTCCCAGGTTGGATGGCCCTCAACACACTATTGAGGCAGTGCTGAGGATCTTTTCAAGAATTAATGTTGATTGGTACATAGCTAGAATAAAGCCTTCAGGACTCTAGTTGCTGACATCCAGGAAAAGAAAAATCAAAGCTGCAAAAAACTGTGGTGGGAATATGGAATTTAAGACGCAAGAACATAAGAAAGCTGAATGCACTGAAAGATGAAATGAATGGACTATATATTGACATCTACGGCATCCGCAAATTGAAATTAACGTTCAGTCAGAAGATCATATGGTTTACTACTCGGAACATAAAGGAAAAAAGGAAATGTGTTGCTTTCATAGACAGGAAGGGAAACCCGAGTAAGTCTGGGAAAAGAACACTGCAGAGAAACCAGCAACAAAACAGGCCTGTTTCGTCCAGAACACCATGTAGAGAATAATCTGCATTGCTTCCAATTTGCAGGATTAACATTCAGAGTAAAATGGTCTGGAGGAGAAATAGAGCATTCCCATGTATTCCCTAAAATATCTCTAGAATAGTAAGTGTTAGACAAACCTATAAAGAAGTTTGAATCTCCTGAAGAAGATACTTATCTTTGTGATGTGTACTAAAATTATCCCAAGGAAAGGTACAAGATGAGAAGCGAAACGTCTTCAAAGAAAAACAAGAAAGTCCAGTTGCCTCTTGAAAAAGCACCTTTAGGACAATCATGACCTGGATGACTGACAATCTTCATAGATACTTCTATGGCAGTAACAGGTGAAAAAAAAATAGGAACAAGCTATCTTGAAAGCATATTTAGAAAGCTGATGTGGTTGCAGAGGTTCTAGGAGGAGAGGAACACCACAGAAGGTCAGTAGTGGAGTGAGTGTGCTTGCTCACTCTCAGCCTGATCTATTTCACTGGCTGTATCTGAATGGGGGGGAAAAACAACAGGAAATGCTATCTATGCCATCTTGAGTGCTCAATGACTGGCGAGAAGTAAATCTAGCAAATAAATAAAATGAATAATACAAAAACCTTTCTCCTCACAAAGATAGAAAAAATACCCTACAAACAGATCAGTTTTCATTTTCACTAGCCTACACTATTAGATAGTTCTAAACAGCAACACCTCAAAATCACTACTAAAATATAAAAAGGCAAAACTGAAATAGAAATATGAAATGAATATATCATCACAATAGATTATGATATATTCTGTTCTAATAGAACTCTATCAAACAATATTAGCTAATGATGAATGATAATTCTATTTTTAAAAATAATTTTATTAAAGATTTAAAAACATTTAAGAAGGAAGGAAGGAAGGAAGGAAGGAAGGAAGGAAGGAAGGAAGGAAGGAAGGAAGGAAGGAAGGAAGGAAGGAAGGGAAACAACTAAAGAAACTAAAGTAGATGATTTCTGTCTCTTCAAAAGTTATTAAGAAACCCACTGTCTCCCCTGCCTCTTAAATCTTCCAGAAGCCCCTTCAGCCCCATTATTTAATTCTTACCCTTCTCAGTAATTAAATCCATAAATCATTGTTTTGGGCGGGTTGGTTCTTTAGCAAAAAGTCTATAAAAGTTTTCCAGTTTTTTAATGTGACAAATTCTATTTTAAGTCATACCTCATCTGTGCTCCATTTAGAAACTTTACTAGCAGGAATCCCAGCCACTGTAGGAAGGAGCTTACTGTGCTGTTCCCACCGCAAAGGAAATGCAGGAATTGTGAGCTTGGAAGATAAAATGACTGGCTGCAGATGGGAATTTCTGTTATTGGTTTCCTTGCTATCTGCAAGCAATAATGAAACAAGCTTTATTATACACACAATATGTACACACAATACGACCACACTTGTAAAGAAAAGTATGTTCAGTATAACATATTTGGCCCTTATTTGACATTATTAATAAATAGCATTAATTAAGAAATACTCTAATCTGTACTAGTTATTTCTGAGCTGTATTTGCTGGAATTGGGTATGTCTAGTTTAACGAAGAGAAGGATGAGGGGGCACATGATAGCAGTGTTCCAATATCTCAGGAGGTGCCACAAAGAAGAGAGAGTCAAGCAACCGTTCCTTATATGTTTTAGTCTCCAGTCCCCTATTCATCTTTGTTGCTCTTCTCTGTAGAGTCTCAACATCTTTTTTACATCATGGCGACCAAAATTGCATGCAGTATTCCAAGTGTGGCCTTACCAAGGCATTGTAAGTTGGCATTAATACTTCATGTGATCTTGATTCTATCCCTCTGTTAATGCAGCCTAGCACTGTGTTGGCTTTTTTGGCAGCTGCAGCACACTGCTGGCTCATATTTAAATGATTGTCCACTAGGACTCCGAGATCCCTCTCACAGTAACTACTATTGAGCAAGGTACCCCCTATACTATACCTATACATTTGGTTTTTCTTGCCTAAATGTAGAACCTTAATTTTTTCACCATTGAATTTCATTTTGTTAGATAGCGCCCAGTGTTCAAGTCTGTCCAGATCCTCCTGTATCCTAAGCCTGTCTTCTGGAGTGTTGGCTATTCCTGCCAGCTTGGTGTCGTCTGCAAATTTGATGAGTTCCCCATCTATCCCCTCGTCCAGATTGTTGATGAAGATGTTGAAGAGCACTGGGCCCAGAACAGAGCCCTGGGGGACCCCACTACACACTTTCCTCCATGTAGATGCGATTCCATTGAGGACCACACGCTGAGTACGGCCGGTCAGCCAGCTACAGATCCATCTGGTGGTGATGCTGTCTACCCCGTATTTTTCTATCTTATCAAGTAGTAGGTTGTGATCTACTTTGTCAAATGCCTTACTGAAGTCCAAGTAAATTATATCCACAGCATTCCTCTGGTCCACTAATTTTGTCTAATTTAGTTGCTTGGACTCAAAAGTGTACACATACATAACACACATTTAAACATGCTATGGAACAAAACTGTGACTGAATCTGGATGTTCTGCTTCGGATACTACGGAGCCTCCTCCCAGAAGGTAACAAGGAAAAGAGGTCATGAAGAGGACAATCTTGCAGACCCTGCTCAAACAATGCTTATTATGTGCTACGTCCTGGATGGAAGGGAGGGAACTGCCAATAATCTTTTCAGACATCCTTACCATTCTCTGCACCATCTTCCTGTCTGAGGCAGTGATGCTACCAATGGTTTTAATAGTTTTAATATGGCTTTTGTGTTATTTTAATTTTGGGGGGGGAAGCCACTTAGAGTTTATTATAAGATGGGCGGCTATATAAATGCTGTGATTATCACTGTTGTTGTTTTTTAAAATGAAACCTGAAATTTCTCATTGGGTAATCCAGTGTAATATTTTCTTCAATTATCTTTTTATGGGTGCCTATAAATGCCAGTTTCACAAACCCATCACAAACTAGTCCTGGCTGAAAAATTCACTGCAACTTGTAGCTAGTCACTCACAAACCATCTAACACAGTGGTTCTCAACCTTTCTAATGCCGCGACCCCATAATATAGTTCCCCATGTTGTGGTGACCCCCAACCACTTATACATCACCGGGTGCCAGGGGCGTGGCCAAAAAAAAGGGGGAAAAATGGCGGACAGCTTTGGCGACCCCGTGAAATGGTCGTTCGACCCCAAATGGGGTCCCGACCCACAGGTTGAGAACCACTGATCTAACACAAATGAAAGCTTTACTTCTACACTCTCCTATGTGAGACTGCTTTTCCTTCCATTTTTACAGATTGAACTGCATTCTTTCTTTGTCTACAATTACTAGTTTGATGATGGTGACGATGATGATGACAATTAAACACTATTTTGTTAGCATGTCTTCTATTCTGTAAATTACATAGAGTCCCTTGGGATTTAGAAAAAACCCTCTTAAAATAATAAAAAAGTAAATTCCACCTTTAATCACTTAGTTTTAATCATTATTTGTATGTATTTATATCTTGGGGTTTGTTTTTTTTGCCATTGTGAACTCCATAGTAGAATTCAAGGGGACATGGCCTATCTCCTAAAGGCAATTTAAAATAAAACAATCCTATGAAAGCAACCTAGTGTGGTTCTGATTTTTCATAGAATAAAATTATTCCATAAAGCCAATTTAAAGCATTAATTTGTAGCACTAGAAACTCTTGTACAGCACATATAGCATGAAATAACAGTTACCTTTGGTTTCATTTATAGACAATACTTCATTTTCCGTTTTTCTTTCTTCACAGTCATCTTTCCCAGTGAGTTCCTTGGCCTGCTCTCCCCTAAGTAATAAAAAACCTTCACATTTAATTATCTGGTAATGATAATAATACAGGATTTTTTTTACCTCTAGCTAAACATTTTATAAGATGTATAATACAAATTATAGTGTATCATATATAAAATAAAATATAGAAATTTAAATCAAATTATTTCTCAAAACAAAACGATAACAAGAAGTTTGGTTTTATAAACTAATACTAACTTGCATAATCAACTTTCCTGTCTACTATATAAAATGGTAAAAAAAATCAAAAACCAACATAATATTTCTGTCTCCATTGTCTTCCATAAATAAACCTCCCGAAAACAATGATATATTTAGATCTCTAGAAGGTGAGATGTTTTCTTTAGAGTGGAGCATCATATAAAGTTATTTTGAATTCCTTCTATATTTTTTTAAATATATTTTATTGTCTTTTTGCAATAACAATCTTTAGTGCTTAGTAAATAGCATGTTGTCTGGGTTCATATATTTAAAAACAATCAATAGTGATTATTTCCCATAATTCCATAATCAATGTATTAATTAATATAATTCCTTGATCTTTTCTTCTTCCAACAGTATTCTCCTTTGTCAACATTAAAGAAATATAATTCTTAATATTTTTGAAACATATAAGATTGGATATAAACATTTTTTTGTGTTTGCACAAATAACAATAGCATCCACATATAACATCTTTTCTGGTCGGCTTATGTTTCAATTGTATTTGTAAAAGTCATCTTATTACACGTCCTGTTTTCAAAATTCTTATTTAAGCTTAATTTCCCCTCAGCATTCAAACTATTCTTATCAGTCATAATTTTCTCAAAATTGATTAACTTTAAATATCCAAACTTTTCATTAACATACACCAGTGGTTCTCAACCTTTTTATACGGCGACCCCAGTAATAAGCAGGCGGCGCGCATGCGCAGCGGCGCCCCCTGGGTGGCGGCATGCGCGGCGGCGCCCCATGCACCCCCTGCATGGCACGCATGCACGGGGCCACCCCTTGTGCCGCCCCATGTGCGGCGGCGCCCCATGCGCGGCGCCATGTGCATCCACTACCTCATGCATGGTGCGCATGCGCCGCCTCTGCGCCAGCTGACAAAAAAATGGCGGATCGCGTTGTTTGGCGACCCCCGTGAAATGGTCGTTCGACCCCAAATGGGGTTGCGACCCACAGGTTGAGAACCGCTGACATACACCATCCTAATATTTTCACATTTCATATATTATAAAAAATACTATACTACTTATATATCTTATAACATCCACATATAACATCTTTTCTGGTAGTCATAATTTTCTCCAAATTAGTTACTTTTAAGTATCCAAACTTTTCATTCACATACATCATCCCAGTATTTTTACATTTCAGGTACTATAAAAAATACTATACTGCTTATATATCTTATCTCTCTTTACATACAAAATTTATCTATTCTTTTAACCATATTCAAGTGTTTTATCATATAGTACTCCATCTGGTAGGTCAAATCAAATCTCTTGAATCTAGCTCTAGCCTTCTTCTTTTGCCGTAGCTTTCCAAATCAGTATGTTCCGCTTGCCTGAGGATTCCTGTATTCCTGTATTTTTCTAAATGTTGTTGGAGTAAGAGAAACAAGTACGCTTTTTGTCTCCCAGACTCTAATGATTTTTAAGGCAGCTGTATAATCCATTTTGTTAGATCTTCTTTCTTATCCTCGAATTTGTTTTGAAGTCCTGAAAGATAAAATATCTTTTCCATTTTCATTGTTGTGGCGAAATCTTGTAGATTTTCTTCTGTTTGTGTTACATTGTGGTTCTCTTCATTGTAGCTTCCTTATTTAAGTCACTTTCTGCTGGTTTGCATTCTATTATCTGATTTATTTGTACATTCTTTATCATCATTTTCTGAAAGTTTTTTAATTGTAAGTTTAGGTTGAGAATATGCTCATTTATGTCATCAAAATTGTTTTTAATTTCACTGTGGTTTAAAATCATTGTCATTTGAATCTATCACAGCATTGAATACACTTCCTCCTGGAAATTATTGTCTTGTAGTATTGCTCCTACAGATCTCTGATGTTCTAGGCTAGGGCCTTCAGAAGGGAGTATTAGGTGTGGTTTCTTGTCACTTTTAGGTAGGTATGCAACATCCATTTTGCCTCTCCCCCCTCCAGACAGTCTTTCACTGATACCATAGTCTCTGTGATTAGCCTTATCAAACCAGCCAAATCCAAGCAACCAAATCTGATATGGTTCTTATCTTTATATACGGTTTTTGTAGTCCAATGCATTTCCAATTGTCAAGGCATAATTGAAAGCAGTATTTTATAACAGTTCTTCTGTTCAGGAGTCTTAGAATTATCAACAAGCCAAAACTGCAGTCAGAATGTTTATCCAACTAAAAGCTTTTCAGTAAATCCCCCCCTAGAAGATTAGCCAAGAGTCAAGGTTTTTCTTTCTCTGCAAACAATTCTTGGGCCTAGAAATCACAGCTCAGTGAGTATTTATAATCCCAGAAGGTCAGCAATTTTTAAAGCAAATGTTGTTCTCAGTCTATAGTAGATGGCCCTTGTGTTTTCTTTCCTCTGTTCCCAGCTGTTCTTTATTTAGCTGTTCACTGGGATTCACAGGAACAAGTTTTTTCTATTTCTGGACGTCTTGCCAATTTCTGAGTCAATGCAGCTATAGTTATGCTGTGATCCTCCACTAGGTGTCAGTGTCTATTCATTTTTCAACTTTTAAGACAAAGAATTATTTTCTTTTAGTTTCATCAATACTCTTTCAGATGTGAAATCTTAACAGTTTTCATAATCTTCAGATTTATCCGGACTGTAGTATGATTAACTTCATTTCAATATATTTCAATCCCCCATAAACATTAATTTGCTGCTTTCGTATATAAAGGGTGGAGGTGTAGTCCCCTCCCTTCTCACTTTCGGAGGATTTTTTGCTTCTTGGGAATCTTTTCCAGGAAATCAATTACAAAATAGGAGAGAGAAGATCGATATTCTCACCCAGTTCCAAGCACGCAGTTCACCATTGTTCTGGTTAGTGCTTTTGGACTTTGGCTGCCTGTAGCTTGGGCTAGTCAGCAAGGTGTGGCTAGCCTTTCTCCTGTTGGGTTGGAGGGCTTTCCACGGATTGAGCAGATCGACTGCCGTCATTCCGTGATCAGCAAGGGGGTCCTCCTTCGTCGCATCTCTCTGGCAACTTTAGACCCTTTTAGGGTCCCCTGGCAGGACAAAACCAGCTGTGGGGTGCGCAGCCCCGCAATCCTTTGGCCGTGTCGCTACGACGCAAGACCAGACGTCTGAACTCCTTCTACAACTTTATTAAATGTTAAATGATGAGTCCAAAGACAATTGATTCCATAGAATGCACACCAGGCATATAAAACCCCAACATGTTATATCATGTTTCTAGCAAATGGAATTGACAACACCTTGTGATTTACAAACCATATTACTTGCTCAGGCATGTAAGACGTGTAAAAAGCCTGAAGCCATCAAGTGATAATATGACTATATTCAAAGCCATTGGAGAGACTGTCTGAAAAGATGCAGTTGTTCAATAAAAGTGGGAATTGTAGATGTAGCATAATCAGGACATGAAAAAGCTGTTCTCAGTAGTCAAAAACTACAAGCTTTGTATATTTCTAATCTAGAAATTATAGGAAATTTATCCATTCATCCAATATATATGGCCTCCCATCCACCTAAAAAAAGAAAAACAAAAACAAATTCTGGGCAGTGAACAAAGTAAAATCTAGCATTCCATTAAAACTAAAAAGAAACCAATTGAGGCCTCAATAAAAATCTTAATTCCCACTTATCACATACATTCACACCAGAACTCCAGAATTAACATCCCTGGAGAAAGAATCTTCACAACCTTCTGAAAGGCCCACAGTCAAGACCATCCATATATCAGGGTAAGTTATTTCACAGAGCTGGTGCCATGACAGAGGAAAGCATAGTTTTGGGGATCCAGCAGTGGCACTTCTTCACCAGGAGACCCAGAACATATTACTGTGCCAGATATTGTGAGATGAGTAGAAACCACTGGAATGGAGGAGTCCTACAATCAATCTGGTTGAATGCCATTAGATCTTTAAAGGTGACCATTAGCATCTTGAATGGCACCCAGAAGCTACTGCAACCATTGGAATCCATATAGTAGCAGTGTCATATGGGCATACATGGTGTGCCCAAAATTACATCTGTTGCTACATTCTGGACCAACTGAAGCTTCTAAATGGCCTTCCAAGGCAGCCCCATGTGGAATACATTATAACAGTTCTTCCCCAAAACATCTAAAACATGAGTGGCTGTGAGCAATGCCTCTCAATTTAGGATCAGACGCAACAAGTGAACAGTATGTATTTATACAAAAGCTCCTCAAGCTGGAGGCATGAATCTGGTAGAAACTTCTCACTGTGCATCGACTCTGCCTATGGCAATGTAACCCCATTCAGAGTTAATGATGGAAAATCACTGATTTGAGGGATTGTACAGCCAGGATTGATCTGAAGCCAAGATCTCCACAACCAGACGAGTACTTCCTCCAGGCACTAGGAAAACACCTTATTTGGATGATATGGGATAGAGGTGTACAATTAAGTATCATCATTGTACTGATGACATTTATCCCCATGCTGAGGAATGACCTTGATGGATGAGTTTCATGTAAAGGTAAAACAGGAGTGGAGGACGACTTGAGTCCTGTGGCACCCTACAAAGTAGAAAGTTAGAACTGGACGTCTCTTCACTCTAACACCACTAACTAAAATTGGTTTTAGAGGGAGGAACTTCTATCCTTAGTAGGATATTTTATCAATCTCTGAATGAGTAACTTCATAAGAACTAATGTCACACAGAATTCTTTGGTGTCTGACTACTAAAGATGCAGAAGTTGACAACCTTAAAAACAAGCAAGGAAAACTAGCATTTTTTAAGGATAATTCGTACATAATTTTCCTGCCACCTTTACATAATATATTTTACTACACAGCTGTCAAATGTAAGACATTTCAGATCCTCCAGTTAACTTTACAGTATTCCATTATACTCCATAAAAATTACTGAACTATTTTCAGGACTAGGAAATTATGCATACCGAAGCATCATTCCTTTTTAATTAGCCATGCAGATGAAGTAAGAATGTGGGCAAAAGGCAGTTTCTTGCCAGCATTTGCTGGCAGGTGATAATTTTAGATGTTTATCTGGAGAAAAAAAATTATATTCAAACATATCAAGCAAGAAGGCAAGTTATATTGGGATTCTGTATCTGCTATCAATAGTTTGGGTGACACATCACACTAAGTCATAAAGCAATGTTTATCTTTATAGATGAGCCTAGGGTATTATGTTACATCAGAACCAGACCGTTATTTTTTCTTTAACAATTTTGGCTTAGCATTGCTATGTGAGCAGGGCAACTATCATATTTATTTGCAAGCTCCACATATGAGACTATAGAAGGTGCCACTAGATAAAGAATCCATTTGCTGCTCAACCTGAAAGGAGAACGCCCTAAAGGTTCTGTGTCCTTCATTTAATATGGAAATGCATTAAATTAAAATGTGCTGAAAAAGAAGACATTTTTATCTCAATTAGCAGGCTATCCAGCTGTACAACAGCAGGACTCTTCACCATCTCATTTATGGCATGCATGCTATCAACAGAAATGTCTCTTAGATTTTTAAATGTTAATTGTGATAAAAGCAAGTAAGGAGTATGAAATGCATCAGGACATGAATTGCTTGTATAAAAAATGTTGTTCATCAGATTCATTTACTTTATTTTCCTGTGTTTGTAAGTAAAAATAAAATTGGTTAGCTGTATTTCTTTTTGCAACTGCAATTATGTGGGGAAAAAATAAGCAAGCATGATTAAAGGGCAGATTAACCAACAATTCTATAATTTAACAAATAAAGGTGCACTTAATTTTTAATTATTAAATGCTACATGTTGAAATATAGAAGATAATCAACAATTATCTAATGTCAGTAATAACACAAACAATTGGGTACAGTTTTAAATAAAATAACTGTAAATAGAAACTAATCAGATGAGTGTTTATTGGAAAAAACATGCATGTGACTGTCAATCAATCCACTGTCAATCAATCCACTATTTAAATTTAGAATCATCAGTATGATGTAATACTGAAATGTGCAACATTGAAAAATATGAAACAGATAGTCCTTAACTAACGGCTGATCATTTTATGAAAGCTTGCAGTTATGAGGACCTCAGAATGGGTGCTTTATGGCTATATGTCACACACACTTCCCAGTGGAGACACATGACTGCAGGTTACAGTGTCCCATGGTCACTGTAACCTGCAGGTACAGTGTCCCAAGACCACAATTTGTGATGTTTTTGTTGTTTTCCAGCATTTTTTGCCATTTTCTGGCAAAAAAAAAACCCTGCCTGTTCAAAAGAATGGATTTGCCTAACTTTTTTTAATCACTGCGAAAAATGTCAGAAAAATGGGTCCAGTCAGATGAGTGTTTTAATTTATGACCACAATGACTTATGACTTTAAGTTGAACAATATCTATATTCTGGAGCAATGAAAACAGTAGCGAAACTGGACAAAATGCAGATTCACATACATAAAGACAGTTAGCTATGACACCTTATCATTTGTGGCAATGCAAGATCAAATTCATTCTTAATATTTAATTCAATAATGTTCAGAATACAGTGAATATTGTATTTAATATTAATTCACTGACTTCGATTTTTGCTTAGTATGCTGCACGAAGTTGGCTGCTGTGAACTATAAATCATTGTTTATGGCTTAATGTGTTGTGAACCTACCTAACTGTTAAGCATGGTTTAGTACAGCGGCTCCCAATCTTTTCTATACCCCACACCCCTAAATGCTTCTGATATATTCTCCCATCCCTTACAAAAGTTCGAAATAATGGCAACGAATTATGCTTATACACTATAATTTTGAAAACTCAAGTTTTCGCACCCCCTGGAATATCGTCTCACAACCCTGGGTGGGAATTCCTGATTTAGTCTGATCTATGAATGAAGTCACGCATGAACCGTCACTCACATTTACCTATTCCAGTTTTCAGGGAAGCAGTTTCTGATTATGCATGTATGAAATGGATTAAGTGCATCCTTGTGTCTTGGGAAGGGCAAGGAAATTTGGAATTATCTGTTAAAACTCTAGTACTCAGCCATGCTGCTGGGCAGCTGCTTTATTTGCAGCTCAAGAACTGCAATTAAAGCATCTCTCTTCATCCCTCCAAAATAGCTAACACTTTTGTAAGACTCATGTGGCTGTTTCTGTTTCTGACGCTTCACTTTCTAAGCAGCACATGAACCTGTCAAAGGTTTTGGCTGCTTCAACTAATAAAAAGAAGTGTTTGGGTTCTGGAGACCAAGACACTCATTCTAGAAAAATGTAGTCATTGTTGAATCATTGGGTTAACCAAAATTCTATTGATTAAAACAAAGTGCTACTACTTTAGGTGCTAATTAATCCCTAATACTTTTCTTCTTTCTAGCTATGTTATATCTTTCAAAGATATTTGATGTTCATTTAAAAACAGTCCGGATTAAAGAAACAAGTACAATAGGAAGAATGAGATACTGTACATTCTGAATATGGAAAATGCAAAAATAAATGGAAAATATAAATAGAATATAAACATTAAAATGGTAAAGACAATTTTAATGAAGCTTTAAAATGGATATAGAATTTCTGTGACAGCACTTGCCATTGGTCTTCAGAATTTCCCAATAATTAGTAAAAGATTGAATATTCATCTTCCCTTATTCTGTTCTCTTTTCTAGGAAGACACTAATATTGAAAAAGAAGCTTCTAGACATTATAATTACTGAAAATAATTTGATCCAGGTTTCAAGGGATTGAATTGTTTTTTAATTAAATAGGATGCTATAGTAATCCAGACACTGCTGTGAAATATGAACTGCATTCAATTAACTTTCCCAGCGCAATATTTTCTCCCTAGTCAGTCATAAGTTGTTATAACTAGTTAATACTGTGGATATTATGAATATAGTATGTTTTAATATTAACTTTGGGATATTTCATTATGCTATCTGTAGCATAATAATATCAAATTCTCAAACAGTGATTTTCCTCTGTCTTTCTTACTATTAGTGCTGTGATACTATTTTCTTTTTTCTTTCATATACAAGTATTCTTTTTTTAAAAAATAAAAAAATAAAGCAATAAACATCTATACCTGCAGAAAAAAGGCAGAAGAATTTCTATAGATAAGTGAAGGACTATCATTAATTTCTTTTAAGAATATACACAGTGATAATATTGCTCAAACCTAGAGGAGCCCATGGTCAACAAAGTGAAGGTGATACAATTTAGAAAGTGAAGCCCCACTTTTTTTTTTTTTTACATTGCATTACATGTGCAATGAACATAAAATAGGATGAGGCTTAAATTATGAGGTCACAAATACCAAATTGATTATTTTGCCAATATGATTGACTGAATGGTCAGAGCTGCACTCTTGACTTTTATGAGCCTCTCTGTGGTTGCTCCTGCTTGTTAAACTGATGTTAATGACACTACAGTGGTACTTTGGTACTCATCGTTACTTGGTTCCAGGAGACTCAATGAGTACCAAAAACGATGAGTATCAAACAACTTTCTCTCATAAGGAATAATGTAGTGAGTTACAAAGCAACCAACACTGACATATTATAGCTTGTGCATTGAGTACGAAACAAACAATGAGAACCGGGACAAAATTTTAAAATTTTCATGTCAAAATGTGTTGAGTATCAAATCCCATGAGTTTCAAAGTAGTTAAGTACCTAAGTGACTCTGGGCAGTTTACAATAAAAAAGATATCATAATATAAAAGCATAAATAAGAACAAAGTTAAAAACAGTATTAAAAAGGTTAGGGTTAAAATATTAAAAGTTAGAATTAAACAGGTGGAGAGAACATTCTCATGACACCAACATCCCCAAGGTTACACACCAGTCTTTGACTCCCATGCCAATTAGCAGAACCAGAACACTCTTTCTGAAGACCAACAAGTGGGGGCCCGCTTCATCTCTGGGGCCAAGGTGTTCCAAAGGGCAATGGCAGAGAAAGCTCTCTTCCAGGATCCCTCTAATCAAAATTCTTTTGACCTTACGTACTAACTAGAAATACTACAATATCTAGAAGCGAATGATACCATCCTTATTTATAAGCCTACAGCAAAATGTTTAGGAACAACTTTCAAGAATTTAGCAAATGGATTTGTAGACTGCATCACTGATATGATATAATTAAGGGCCTGAATAAAAGATTTTGCAACAAATAATGGTATTCAGATTACATAGATTAGAGCCAAAATAGCCAATATTTGAAACAAATCTGAAAGATACCTGTAGTTTTCTTCTTTGACATCACACATTAAAGGCTTTTTGCAAAGAAGTTTCACATCTGTATCTTCCTCCTTTGAAGACTGTATATGAGGTGCAGGCTTAACTCCAGTGTGACTGGGACTGGCACATTTTCTGTTACTGTTATTTTTTTTTTTTTAAAAAAAGAGCAATTATTTCAAATCCTGCACTGATGCAAACTTAAACTGGAAATTAATGTTGAATATTACTGAGTATCTCTTATTTATTAATTAAAGATAATTAGCATAAACCTGGTGATTTAGTTAAAGCACTTATATATCGAAGATCTCAGATCTTATGGCTATTTTTTGAGTAAGGACAACTGTAGTAGTAGTTATTTATAACATTCATTCATTCATTGACTTGTTTAGCCACCCATATCAAACCGGTGACTTTGGGTAACAATCATACAAACAATTAAAAAAGTTAAAAACACAATACAAAAACAGAAATTAAATACAGATATGAGCCAGGAGATATTATAATGCATTCATGGCAATATAAGCAGAAAATGGGGCCCCAGGCCCGGCCACACAGTCAGATTTTCAAGACCTTATGTATTATTTTTCCCTTTTTCATTTGCGTCTCAAAATTATTTTATTTAAAAACAAATGCAAGTAATAAAATTCAATCGTAGTTAAGAAATGCCTGTGAACTAAATGTTAAAGCAAATAATAAAAGCAAATTGAAATACAAGATAACAAAAATAAATTCAGTGAAAAAAGATAAAAGAGAACAAAATAAAACAAAGCAAAATAGAACTATTTGTCCAATATTGATAAAGAGAAACGGCTAAATCAGTGGTTCTCAACCTGTGGGTCGGGACCCCATTTGGGGTTGAATGACCATTTCACGGGGGTCGCCAAACAACGCAGTCCGCCATTTTTCCCCCCTTTTCCTTAGCTGTGCTACTCCCTTTTATTCTATTGGCTTTTGAAAGCCAATAGAATAGACTCTCTTGAATAGAGTCTAATTCTATTGGCTTTCAAAAGCCAATAGGAATTGTCCAGGCTGTCTCTGCCCTGCTGAGCCCGCCAAAAGTCCCATTCTGCAAACCGTGCTGCACCAGTTGAGTAGTCCTCAACTTACGACCAGTTGAGTAGTCCTCGACTTACGACCGGTTGGGGGTCGCGGCATTAAAAAGGTTGAGAACCACAGGGCTAAATGAAGAAATTTATCTCCAAAATCACTTAAATGCCAATACAAATGAGGAACATCACACAGATGGAGAGCATTTCAGAAAACAGGAGCCACCACTGAGAAGACCTACCCACCAGGAAGCACAATGGCCCACTGACAATCTTGGAATATGCAGTAGGACTGTCTTTGCTTAACAGCAAAGCCAACATGTCAGGTACTCGCTTCAGCTCAAAGTGCTTAAATTATAAGTAAAATGTTGTACCTGATGCGATATCTGACTGACAATTGATCCAGTTACTTCAACTAAGATTTAACACTGTACGTCTGATGTCCCACTCAGTGACGTGACAGCCACATTTGTATCTGTTGTAACTTTTAGATCAATGGCAAAGTTAGTCCCACAAAAAGGAGCATTACAGTAATCTAAAGGTACCTTTCCAGGGTGGGTGAACAATAGTATCTAAGCTGTCCCTGTTTCCCTAAGCAGATCATCCATGGGAGGTTGAAAGGGGGAGCAGATGGTAAAATTATTGCTCAAATGAAATGCAAATTCCACCCCTTTTATTTCTGAAAGGGATTAGATTATTATTGAATTCTATTTAAAACCAAACTATTAAAAACTAATAAAATGTTGAATTTTACAGTTATTTTGGAAAGTTTAGTTTAAAAAGTTCTCCTCTATACAAACATCCAAAGGTATCTATTTTTTCTACTGCTTACTGAATATGTTAATAATATAGGTCAGTGATGGAGAACCTTTTAGAGACCGAGTGCCCAAAAACTGGCCCCGCCCCCGCTCCATCCCCTGCTCCGCCCCCACCCTGCCTGCCTGCAGGGCCACTCACCACCTCCAGGGCCCACCACAGATCGCCCAGCAGCGCCAAGGCAGCCACACCCTCTGCCTGCACCCCGTAGCATCAACTGTGCAGGATGGGGCGTGAGGGCAGAGTCTTGTCTATGCTGCCTGGCTGCCATGTCCTTGGTTGTGCTGCTCCGTGTGGGGGTGGTTTTCCTCCAGGGGGGCTGCTGCTGAGGAGGGGGTTGCAAGGCTTGGGCAATGGCACGCGTACCCATAGAGAGGGCTCCGATTGCCACCTCTGACACCCGTGCCATAGGTTCACCACCACTGAAATAGGTATTAATAATGCATGCAAATGTCATTTTCAGGTGTTTGATAGCAATAGCATTTAGACTTATATACTGCTTCACATTGCTTTACATCCCTCTCTAAGCGGTTTACAGAGTCAGCATATTGCCCCCAACAATCTGTCTCATTTTATCAATCTCGGAAGGTTGGAAGGCTGAGTCAACCTTGAACTGAACTGCCAATCTGCTGGCAGTAGGCAGTCAGAAGAATTAGCCTGCAGTACTGCATTCTAATCCCTGCACCGCTATGGCTCTTTCTACTGTTTCTCTATTTTAACACAGTGGTTCTCAACCTGTGGTCTGTGGACTCCTGGGGGTCCACAATGTCATCACAGGGGGTTCATGAAGGCTTGAAGAAATGTTATAATTTAGATCCTGAATTAAGTCTTGGTGGTCCGTGGCCATGGTCACAAAAGGTATTTGAGGGGGGTCCATGGTAAAGAAAAGATTGTCTTAACACATACATTTACTCTCACAAAAAGATAATATGTCTAACCTAATTCCCCAGCTTTGTGTGCCTCTGGTTGAAGGATTTGTCTTCAATAAAATCATGCATTATAAATATAAGCATGTGTTTAATTGATATATGCCATTAACAAAAGACACTTATACTTGTCAGGATTGAAATCACTGCAATTTGTTCCCAATGCCCAATGGAATTTGGGTGTTTTTTTTTAAAAAAAGTAGAAAGATTCAAATGTATGTTTAGCTGTTCAAGAGAAAGAAAAAAGCAGAAATCCTCTGGGAATAACTACAGCTTTACTACAGAGACCCAAAGCACTTCTCTAAATTTCAGTCTTAGAAAATACATACTGATGAGCCAAAAGAACTTCCAAGTTCTTCTTACAAGTACCAAATGAACTCACTCAAAGAATTCACATTTTTTTAAAATATCAATCAGTTTGCCCCTGTATCCTGAAACAAACACCACACAGACGACATACGTTCTTCAGGTTCAGCCACAGTAAAACACATAGTACAATAAAGCTTGACCATAATTTCATTGACATAATTACTTGATTATAGGAGAGGCTGATCTTTCATTTATTTCTGACTTTCGATTCCAATGCATAGATTGATTATTTGGAGGGGTCTCTCCACTTAAACGGTCTGAAAGAATATGCTCTTTGTTCAGGTTTATTTCAGAATAGGGGCAGTTGACCACACTGAAAATAAGAGACAGAGAAGGAAAAACAGATTAGACACTAAAGCACTTCCTAGTTGAAACAAACATCATACTGGTTGCAATTTCTCTGCAATTACTTGGAATTCATTAACAGAGAGAGAGAAACATAAACGCCTTGTGTTCCTAATGGCAGCATCACTTTCTGCCAAGTATGTTGAAGCATACAATGTTTATTTTCAGGGAAGCTTGTTATGAAGTATATTGTGATGGATATTTATAATTATATATATTCATACATACATACATACATACATACATACATACATACATACATATATCTAGAATGCTATATGTTCTAGATAACTCCTCCCCTGTTTCTTCCCTCCCTAACACAGCTGGCAAAAGTGAGACAGAGCCTGTGGCCTAGAGGTTTAATACAGCTGCCTAACATGCAGACAGCCCAGGTTCAAATCTCAGAAGGGTATGTCTGGTTGAAAAGAGCTAAAGAGTTTGAAATAGCTATTCCAGTTCTCCCTTAATTCTTTGCTAGCAATCCAAATTTTAGAAATGTGTGTGTGTGTGTGTGTGTGTGTGTGTGTGTGTGTGTGTGTATTCTTTACTATTAGAAATAAGAAAGACATATTCTCAAGGTCAATAGGTTAAGGGAATGAGTAAAATAATGCAGTACTCTGAAAGGATAGCAAGAATTATGAAAAATGGGTTGTTTCTCTTTTTCTGCTTTTCCTTTCTTTTTCGATGGAGCATTAATACTATTGAGAGTATATAGTAGCTTGTTATTTTAGATAAATGTTATTGCCCTGTTGTACCATCTGGCAAGAAAAATATATGAAGCAGAAGTCTTGCATTTTATAAGTTTTCCTAAGAGGAAAGAAAAGTAATTGCAGATATCAGTGTGAGGACCATAAATCTTTATCGCAGGTTTTTCAAACTTTCAGGTTGTGGACCCATACATTAAAAAAAAAAACACTTTAATCTGTGATCAAGAGGCAAAGCTCTATAATAGAAAGCTGCCAGTGTTCAGTGAATACTTTTTTTTAGTCTTTCATGGAACCTCATCAACTGCTCGAGAAATCTGAAGGTTTCCCAAGACAGTTTAAAAATCTCAACTCCATCCTATCATTCCATGAGATACTAATCTTCACTATTTGTGTTCTTCAATTTAGTTTCATCAGATAAAAGCAGCCAGCTTTATTTTCCCCGGACTTTTGAAAAGATAATGAATATCATAATATTACCGAATCCAAAGATTTTACTCTTGCCTATTTGCCTTCCTCCAATATTCTTTTCTGAAGTCAGGACACTATAAAATGAGCACAAATTTGCTTGTGGTCAGTGTCATAAAGGTTGGGAGCCGATTCTTTATTATTGTCTTTGCTGTGTTTTTCTTTTCTTTTTCTTTTTTCTGGAGCTTTTCCCAGTTTAGTTTGCATTAGTTTTTACTGTGTTTATTAAAAATTTCAGTAAAAATTTTCTTGTCAATAAACTGAAGCATCTGACTTCATGACATGTGTTAATTCTTTTACACCCAAGGCCTTTCTTCATAGAAGTTTTTAAAAAAAACTTTACTGTTTCTTTTTCTCCCAAAGCCATTGACATTTTCCCACATACTATCTCACATTTCACTCATTGTGACAAAATTATCACAAACCTCTTTGAGACCCCTGACCAAATGCCCATTCATTATGAAATGTTAGCCACAAAAACAGTCTAGTTTGGGAAATGTTTAGCTCATTTTTAAATAGTCCATAACACCAGGCTTTTTGAGGTTTAAATGAAAGAAACTGTGCATTCAAAAAAAAAAAAAAAACCTCATTCTCATATTAATCCATTTTTGTTCATACCATTTTTCTGCAATTATTTGAAGATTTAAGCATTATGTCTTCTTTTCAAATAAGACACATTTATCATTTCATTGACTTTCATCAACCACAAAGAGTCAGCATATTTTGTCACTTTCTTATTAGGCAGTGGCTCCTTTTCATCATGATCTTTTCATGCTCATAAAGAGGTATGCCCATTTATTTAAGTTCAATACTATGAATGAGCGCATGAAAAACACTGGTAGAAAAATAGTTGCATGCAGAAAGTCTGATGTTCAATTCCTAATTCCTAAATCAGCAGGCCTGTGAGCCTTAGGATTGAGAAAGTGGTGCCCCCCACCCTTTGGTGCATCATCCCTTTCAAAATTAGATGGCCCCCATTTTGACACTCTGAAGAGTTGGTTTTGCCAGCAGGCCTGGGGAACCCAAAGAGGGATGGAGCCCATCAAATAGCTCATTTGACTCTGTGTTGTCGTGTGTGTATGTGTTTATGTATGTGTATTGTTTTTATTGTTTTTAAATTTTATTTTCTATACTGTGTTTTTATTGCTTGTAAACCACCTAGAGTCATTCGGAGCAAGTAGGCAGCCATATAAATTTGTTGAATGAATGAATGAATGAATGAAGTATATTTTTCAAAGATCCTGGAACATTGGGGAACTACCAGAGGACTGGAAAAGAGCTGATGTAGTTCCCATTTTCAAAACGGGAAAAATAGATCCAGGAAACTACAGACCTATCAACCTGACCTCAATACCTGGGAAGATTCTGGAAAAGATAATCAAACAACGAATTAGCGAACACCTAGAGGCAAACAAAGTCATTACTAAAAGCCAACATGGGTTAGTCAGATCATGCCAGACAAATATTATGGCATTCTTTGACCAAGTGACAAAATTAGTGAACCAGAGGAATGCTGTGGATATAATTTACTTGGACTTCAGTAAGGTATTTGATAAAGTAGATCACAACCTACTACTTAATAAGGTAGAAAAATGTGGGTTAGACAGCATCACCACCAGATGGATTTGTAGCTGGCTGACCGGCCGTACTCAGCGTGTGATCCTCAATGGAACCACATCTATATGGAGGAAGGTGTGTAGTGGGTTGCCCCAGGGCTCTGTTCTGGGCCCAGTGCTCTTCAACATCTTCATCAACGATTTGGACGAGGAGATAGATGGGGAACTCATCAAATTTGCAGACGACACCAAACTGGCAGGAATAGCCAACACTCCAGAAGATAGGCTTAAGATACAGGAGGATCTGGACAGACTTGAACACTGGGCACTATCTAACAATGAAATTCAATGGTGAAAAAGTAAGGTTCTATATTTAGGCAAGAAAAACCAAATGCACAGGTATAGTATAGGTGGTACCTTGCTCAACAGTAGCAATTTTGAGAGGGATCTTGGAGTTCTAGTGGACAATCACTTAAATATGAGCCAGCAGTGTGCTGCAGCTGCCAAAAAAGCCAACATAGTTTTAGGCTGCATTAACAGAGGGATAGAATCAACATCACGTGAAGTATTAATACCACTTTACAATGCCTTGATAAGGCCACACTTGGAATACTGCATCCAGTTTTGATCACCACAATGTAAAAAAGATGTTGAGACTCTAGAAAGAGTACATACAGAGAAGAGCAACAAAGATGATTAGGGGACTGGAGGCTAAAACATATAAGGAACGGTTGCTGGAATTGGGTATGTCTAGTTTAATGAAGAGAAGGACGAGGGGGGGCATGATAGCAGTGTTCCAATATCTCAGGGGGTGCCACAAAGAAGAGGGAGTCAAGCTATTCTCCAAAGCGCCTGAAGGCAGGACAAGAAGCAACGGATGGAAACTAATCAAGGAGAGAAGCAACCTAGAACTAAGGAGAAACTTCCTGACAGTTAGAACAATTAACCAGTGAAACAACCTGCCTCCAGAAGTGGTGAATGCTCCAACACTGGAAGTTTTTAAGAAGAGACTGGAAAGCCATTTGTCTGAAATGGTATAGAGTTTCTTGCCTGAGCAGGGGTGGACTAGAAGACCTCCAACTTTATTATTATTATTGTTGTTATTATTATTGTTGTTAGGTTCATGCCAAAGAAAATCAATATTGCACCACAGGTCTGGAAGGAATAAAGACTAGACTTGGGAATTGTCTTTGTACTGTTGAACTAGCTTTTGTCATGAAGTGTAAAATCAACATAAGCATGAATACAACAATTCAGCCCAATGTGTGTTGGGAAGTTGTGTGGGATTCATATGCAGTTATATGGGATTCACATGTCTATATGAACAAGCATGTATGCAGTCTTGAATATACATATCCTGAGACCAGGGTATTATAGATCTGCTATACTATAATATGCATTATGTGGTGGGGTTCAATTAGCCAACCAGTATAGAAGTTCCCAAAATCATTAATTCTTTTTTCCATAGTTCCATGCTGACCCATGCATCAGTAGTAGGTTTTCTACCTCCACTAACTATAATGGTTAACATAGGATTTTCTTCACTCGGGGGAATATGCTTTTTTCAATCCTTTCTATTCTATTCAGATAAAAGCCTCATTGTGAACAAGAGAATTATGTTCATATTATGATATATAAAAATTTGCAGCCCTGAAGGATAGAAGCAACATTTGAAATAAAGGCCTTCAGCTTTGACTGCATATATATAGGAAAGTTCCTAATGATTTTGCAATGATGCAGAATAGAAAGAAAAGTAGAATTAATTAGTTCCGTCTACTTCTGACTTTGCTTATCTTAATCCCTGGCTATTAGCTCAATCGCCTGTTAGCCATCAATTACCATTTCCATTCTGTCTATCCTTTGAAGCCAACAGTTTTTTTAAAACAGTGAGTAAAGACAGGCTCCAAACCTCTATATAAGAAGTCTATTATTAATGAATGGATATTAATTGATTTACTCTATAAATTGTGGCAGAGTTTTTGAAAGCAATGGGATTGGATATCCCCTTCAAGTAAAAGATGAACATTGGATGTTTGTGAAGAATAAGAAATTATACAATTCGCTTGACAGCAACTTTGCTAAAGAAGGGATTTTTCAGGATTTAAATTTAAGTATTACACAGATCGTAAGCATGCTTAATAGAATAAGAGAGCTCTCGATGTTATCTCCTAGTTTTAATGCAATACAAAGCAAAAGAAACAGAGTATTTCTGTATTAACTCTTTGAGAACCTTATTGCAG